TGCTGCCCCATTACTACTTCATGAAGCCATGGAAGATTGTATGGTAGATGATTTCTATATCAAAAAAGGATCACAAGTTATTGTCAATGCATACACTATTCATAGGGATCCTAATTTTTGGACCGACGCTGATAAGTTTTTGCCAGAGAGATTTCTTGAAAGTAACGTAGATGTTCGTGGACGTGATTATCAACTTTTACCATTTGGTTCTGGCAGAAGAAGTTGCCCCGGGATGCAATTGGCATTAATTATTGTTCGTCTTGTTGTAGCACAATTGGTTCATTGCTTTGATTGGGAACTCCCAAATGAGATGCAGCCTAAGGATTTGGATATGACTGAGCAATTTGGTATAGTTACAGGCAGGGCAAATCATTTAATGGCTGTTCCAACTTATAGGCTACAACACAGCTGATTTTGGGAAATTGATTTTTATACATCTAGTTATAATAATTTATATGATCTTGTATAATAAAGTTTGTTTAGTGATTTTGATTGATTACTTCTTTGTATGCAATAAATATGTTATTGTTTTTGTTATTACTTCTGATAAATGATATATTGCAAACTTTTGCTTCTAATCCATATTATTATATTATATGCCTTTATTTTGGGATATCCCTGCGAAATTAAAGATACTTGATAGTTAATAGCCTTAGCGCAATTCATGAGATTAACTACTAAATTACAGTTTATTTTTAGAAATAACTATTTTTCTTAATTTAATTATTATATTTTCACATTTAATGATTAATTATTTTTCATCTTCTTTTTTTTAAAAAAAAATAAATACGTTTTAAAAATTTAAGATTTATTTCTTTGAAATAATGTTTAAATACTTTTGATACTATTGATTTTAAGTATTACTAGTAAAAATGACCCGTGTCAACACGGACCCAACATTATATTTATATACCAAATATTAGGATAAAATTATGCATAATTTATTTTTATAAATTCTATATACTATTGATATTCTAATTAACACATCTCAATTATATAAAATTATAATATAGTAGAGGAGGATGTTTTTCAATCACAATAAATTATTTTTGAAGCGTAAGGAGTCTATCGACTTTTTGATTATTTTATTATTATTTTTATTATATAATATTTGTAATTAACATATCATAAATCATATAAGACCATTTATTAAATTTTTAATATTCGTAACTTTTTTAATGTAGTATAACACTTCAGAAAATATTATTTAATATATACATTTTCAATCTGAATTAATAATACTTCATTTTAAAAAAATAAATTATTTAGAACCAATTCCAAACTCATCAATGGACATGGCATAAATAAAATGGCTAAAGTGTTTTATTAAAAAAATAAGGGTTAACCCATCGGTGGCCCCCTAAACTTAGCACCAACTTTCACTTAGGCACCTCAAGTGGACGATGTTCATTTTAGACACCTCATGTAGAGTCTCGCTGTGTCATTTTGACACTTTTTATATTTTCAAAACCGCATTTTAAGTGCATACATCCAGACGCCTCTTATGTGGAAAAATAAACGAATTGGTATGTGACAGGTGAAAAAATTTTATTTTATTTTTAAAAAATCTCAATTTTACTTTCTTCCAGATCCCAAACCCCATGCCCCCACCTCTTTTCTTGTTCTTCTTGCCCTCCTTCCCCTTCATCTGTTCTTCTCCATCAAAAAGGCAAGAACATATGTTAGTTTACAAAGTAAAATACGTTTTGGAGAATAAGGGAAATCATACCAAATCGAAAAGTTTTTATATGACATTTAAAAGAAGATGATTTCTTGTGCTACTACGATTGGGATTTACAATGAAGGATATGTAAAATAAATTTCTTTTTTTTCTATTGGAGGTTGTTCTTTATTTCTTTTTATTCCTTGAAATCAATTTAATTTTCAATGGAGAAGGTAAGAATGTAAATTAGTTTTTCCATTTGAAAGAAGTTGATTTCTTTTTTTGTTTCCTTGAAATCGATTTTGTTTTTGAATATGAATAAGATGCAAATTCGATTTTCAAAGAAGATGGAAGAATCAAAAGAGTTTAAAAAAAGTTAGTGTGGTGATGGAGGATGGTAGAAGGTGGGGAAGATGGAAGGGAGAAAGCAAGGAAGAAGAAGGAGAAGAAAATATTTACAAAAAAAATCAGAATATTTACAAAAAAAAGTCTTTGACACGCTCAAAATTCGTGTAGCACACGTATTGTGCTTAGTCAGCAAAAAATGTCAAAATGACACAGCGAGATCCTACATAAGGTGTCTAAAATGAACATCGCCCACTTGAGGTACCTAAGTAAAAGTTGGTGCCAAATTTAGAGAGCCACCGATGGGTTAGCCCAAAAAATAAATAAGGCAAAAGTTGAGGGAACAAATCGCTGTGTAGTTCAATGGGTCCCAATCACCATTAATGACCACAGCTTCACAAGTGTAGTTCAATGGGTCCCAATCACAATTAATGATATTTCAGTGGATGGCATTAATTGTAATTTAGCAGAAAATGATGGTAGATCTGTTGATGTGGTCTAAAGAATAAAGCAGAAAACACAATTCCTTTGAAATAAATTGATCTAGGAAAATACTACTATACCCTTAAACTTTCATCTAATGTCACCGACATGTTGAAACTCTCTCTTTCTAATATATAGAAATTTATATTGGAGTACCTATGATGAATGTCACCATATAATAGTACTCTTTTTATTAAAAGAAATTAAATAAGTATTTTTTAAAAATGAATCAACAATATAATTTTTTTTTCCACATTCGTGGATAGTAATTAATCTCATTAATCAAATAATGATTGGTGAATCTATGAATAGTCATTGTAAGCTAAAATCGAAATTTTACTTGGATATCCAAAATTTTTGGTTAAAGGGTTTGTTTAATGAAATTGGTGGACCAATGAATTGAGATATAGTTTGGTGTTGATTTTTATTCACCTATTTTTAAGAGTGGATGTTATATCCCTTAATATAATCATAACAAAAATATTTATATTTTCTTAAGAACGTGTGAAAGAGAATTTGGCCCAAAAAATGAATAGTCCCAGTCTTTCAGCTATAGCTAACCTCATAGGATCCGCTTAGTAGGCGGTATTAGATAGAATAATCCATGGATTAAAATTTAATCCATCTAATACATTGTTTGGTTACTTCATTTAATTTAATCCATGGATTGCTTATCCACCATATGTGGTCTTATCTTATCTCTAGAATATGGAGGGATAATGGATAAAACCCCTAAATGACTAAACTAACCCCTTATTCCTTTTTTTAAATTTCTTTTGTAATTTAATTTTCTTTTTATTTATATTGAAATGGTTATAAATGTTCTTTTTAATTCTCCAAATTCGTTTAGTGTAATTTAATGATTTCACTAATATTTTTTTCTCCATTTTTTCTTGATTTTTTATTTTTATTTCAAGATAGTTTGTCGATTACCCACTTGAACTTATTTGTTTTTTTTTTTTTTTAAAAAAAAAAGCTTTAGGTTTTGAACAATTTAAGTAGTCTTAAATCTATGTTAAGTTTAAGATATATACTTCACCAACAAAAAATTAGAAATACGTTGTGCCATCAGCGATCTTCTTAGTGGTACATCACACCTTAAAATTAATAACAATTTTATGTATATATGTATTTGGATTAACTAATTAAATGGAATAGAAAATTCTTTAAAAAAAATTGTCCGGTCCGGTGGTTATACTTTGACCCAATTACATGAAATAAACACTCATAATAACACAAGGGTATAATAGGAAATAAATTTTTTGTAGAGTTTTAAATCAAACACAAAATTAAGTGAAAAGTAATGAACCAAACACTTGACAAAAAATAATCTCTGCACTGCTAATCCCTGCATTACTAATCTCTGCGTTACTAATCATTGCATTACTAATCCCTACATTATCGATGTTTGTACCAAACGACCCCATAGAGCATTAAAAAGGGGAAAGTATACAAAAGGGTCACTCGGCTTTTCGCTTTACACAAAAATTAACACAATTTTCAAAATTATTAAAATTGATCAAATACTTTTCTTCTTCCTTTCAATTTCATTATTGATGATGTTCTGCTTTATTTTTTTCCCTTTCAATTTCGTCATTATTGGATGTTTCTGCTTTTTCTCTTATTCGTCATTCTGCTTCGTCTTCTTCATTATTATTTTTTGAAAAAAATCAACTATCAAAATCGTGAATCATTTCAAGTAAATTATATATCAAAAGACTCGAAATATCGAGAGGATTTCATATCTAAATTTTGAGACTATTTAAAGGTAATTTTGAGTTGATCGAGATCAAATTTGTCAGTGTATATTTCATGTATAGTTAAGTTATATTCAACTTTTTGAGTATATCATAACATATAGTCAGTGTATTGATCATATAGGTAAGTTGTATCGTATAATGAGTGTATGCATTCTATGATTTTTGACAATCTATATTGTATAATCAATATATATTTTTTGTGACTTCTGATTATATTTTCATGTAAATAAAAAACATTTATTGTAAACTAATTACTTATTGAATTTATTTAAAACTAACCCCATTAAAAATATATCACATTTGACAGAAATATGAGTAGTGTGTCTTTTGGTATGATGCATCAATTCATAAATGAATTGATCATTTTGAATTGTTTGTGGTGGTGGAAATCAACTATTCATAAAAGATAAAATTGCTCAGATCTCATTAAAAGGTTAGAATGATTATATAAATATATTACTATTTTTTTTTTATATTAGAAGAGGGAATAGAGAGGACCTTAAGGTAAAGTTTGGGAATAGAGAGGAACTTAAGGTCAAGTTTCTCAATTTACAAAAAGAGGAACTAAGTTTCATAAGCAATAAAGTGTATTAGTAATGCTTGCATTAGTAATGCATGTATTAGTTATACTTGTATTAGTTATGCATAGATTATTTCTTACATTGTTTGATTTGATGTATTAAAAATAGTCTGCATTGTATAAAAAAAAATTATTTACAAAAGTATTCTTCACAATTATGGTGGAAAAGATGTAAAAGTACTTTTGAGGGGTAATTGGGTCTTTAACCATATTAATGCATGTATTAAATCTTTTGCATTACTAATACCTAGAAATTCATGGTATTAGTAATACACTCCTCAATATACAATAGAGTGTACAACTAATGCAAACATTAGTTATACAAAGCATGAAAAAATGCACCAAACTAGGGACTACTAATACATATAATTAATGCATGCATTGTTTTTTCTAGAGAAAATACATAAAAAAACCCCTGATCTTATCCGCATAACTTACTTTAGCACGATTACTTTACGAGTAATTATTTACCCCCTTAACTCATTTCAAGTGAATTTAATATCCCCTTCAGAAGTCTAGAACCACAATTGTAAAGGTAGGTGTGCTACAAACACCTCCACGTGTCAAAAAAATTATTTTCA